ATAAATATGTGTTTGAAAATGAGAGCTTTGTTTTGTTCCGATTACTGTATCTGAAGTTCTCGATCTACTCTTAAGACTTCAGTATTTTTCCTGTACTGATTCACTGCGTGGGGGATACTATGTCCTGTCAGCCCCGGAGCTCAGCGCGCCGTTGCCCTGTGAGAAGGCTGTGCCCGGGCTGTTACTGACATCCTCTTGGCTGCCGCCTCGTGCTTCGTTTACGAATTTGTAGAGCATACGCTCGGCCACATTTTTTTATCAAGCCCATTCTGTGACTTGGTCTCTTTACCCACTATCAACTGTGGTAATAACCTAAGTCTTATCTGAACATGCGTTTTGCAACCTGAAGTTACTGACGATGCTAACGAAGTTTCAACATCCCTAGAGCAGTTGCAGTTACGCCTCTCTGCATCTGTGACTTCCATGCAGGGGGTGAAAAAAAGGAGGTGTCTGTGTAATGTACACTTTAGTCCCTATAAGTGCAAATGGTTTTGTACTAGTAAAGGTATTCTAGAAAATTCTCAGTGACCAAACCAGCTACCCTAGTGAAGTTTTCAGTGCAAACAAGATCTAGTGGATTGGTATCAGCTGAAATGTAAAGAAAAGTGAGTGGGGAAAATCGTGGAGGGCGTCAGTGAGTGGGGGGCTGTGTAGCTATTGTGTGCAGAAGGGCATGGAGAAAGAGGATGGATGGAGAGGAGCACAGTATAAAGAGTACTGCTTGGAAGCCACAGAAAATATAAAAGGTTTTGTATTGACTTTAGGAGCAATTGCTAATGAAGTGAGGAACTAATATGAAGGAGAGGCAGCTGAGTGTTTGGGTTTGAATGAACAAGTGATTAATCAGAGTGTCTGGAGTGATCAGTAGTAAAGGAAAGGTGCAAGATTAGGCAGAAATCTGAAGGCAAGTTTGAGACAGAACATCAACAATATTCTGACAGTAGAATGAAATACGTTGTCACATGTTTAAAAACCCCTTGATGAAGGAGCAAATTTATTTTCTCTGATGAGAACAGCAGATAACCTTTTTCTGTAACTATATGGCATAAAGGGAGGCTTAGAGAACTTGGAGCTTCTCGCAAGTAGTGTACTGTCTGCGTCGCCACTGCAGCATTCCCACGGGCAGAAAAAAAAAAAAAGAGAAAATAATTTCCCAATATATGTTTTGAAAGCCTGCTGAGCTGTAGCAGAAGCAAATGACAAAACATTGCTGTGTATGAGACATCAATAGAGCCACTCAAATATTATTTTTTTTCCCCCGTGATCCAGGAAATTGGCTTTCTTATGTAGTTAGATTTCTTAACTTGTTAGCAGCTGGTACAGCCAAAAGGTGACAGACCTGTGAGGTCTGTCAGCACAGAGTTTGAAGCCTCATACATTCCATAAAGAACAAGTCTGCACCTTTTAATGTATTGCATTTTTAAAGTTCCTTTGGCCACAAGTAACTCCTGTGTATAATGAGCTTTACTGAAAGCTGGTTATGGGCACTAAGAAAAGTGCTGGTGGTGAGGAAATACTGTTCTGTTTTCGGCTCCTAGTGGCCATGTAGCTGTTCCTGTGAGGAATTGTGCTCAAATTACCCAGTTCCTTACTTTTAGACAAGCTCTAAAAATGCAGTTGTTTTTTATGTCACAGGCTGTTCTCTGAGAACAGCAGCCTTAAATTCAATAGAAGCCAAGGCATTACATGAGTATTGAGGCTACATGGGGATTAGGAGAGAAGAATTGCAGTGGAACAGGGTGTAACATTTGCAGACATGTATAGAATCAAGGAATGAATTGTATTGGGAAACTTACTTTATTTTAATAGAGTTACTATATTTTTAACATTTCAGAATGCTGTGATTTTTTGCAGATGTGAGTGTTCTGTCATTTAGTTCTTGTCTACTCAGGTTGTATGAACAATTCTGGACAGTTAAACGTGTAAAACTTTTTCCTGTGTTTGAAAAACAGAAAACACAATCAGAACCTTAAACTCATGAATAATTTGATGACAAGTTATTGATTTCTTCAGAAGATAATTTCATCTTTGGTCCCTGAGTGGACTCCTACCAAAGGAATGAAGCCAGTACCTGCTTTTAAAAAACTTCTTAGTCATCAGTTTAGATACCACTGAGCACTGGAGCAAAAAGAAATCTTCCAAGAACAAACTGGCAAGCAAGATGATCTGTGTGAATGACAGCAGATTCATTCCTTGTAATGGAATTACGAGTGTTCCTGAGTGCAGTTATTTGCAAGTACTATGGTGACCTAAATCAAATCTGGCTTACAGATAGAGCTCAGAGGGTTGTGGTTAGTGGCGCAGAGTCTAGTTGGAGGTTAGTAACAAGTGGTGTCCCTCAGGGGTCAGTACTGGGCCCAGTCTTGTTCAACATATTCATTGATGATCTGGATGAAGGGATAGAGTGTACCATCAGCAAGTTTGCTGATGACACAAAACGGGGAGGAGTGGCTGACACGCCAGAAGGCTGTGCTGCCTTACAGCGTGACCTCGCCAGGCTGGAGAGTTGGGCAGAAAGAAACCTTATGAAGTTCAACAAGGGTAAGTGTAGGGTACTGCACCTGGGGAGGAATAACCCCATGCACCAGTACAGGTTGGGGGCTGACCTCCTGGAGAGCAGCTCGGTGTGGAGGGTCCTGGGAGTCCTGGTGGACAACAGGATGACCATGAGCCAGCAATGTGCCCTGGCGGCCAAGAAGGCGAATGGCATCCTGGGGTGCATCAAGAAGAGTGTGGCCAGCAGGTCGAGGGAGGTCATCCTCCCCCTCTACTCTGCCCTGGTGAGACCGCATCTGGAGTACTGTGTCCAGTTCTGGGCTCCCCAGTTCAAGAAAGACAGGGAACTGCTGGAGAGGGTCCAGCAAAGGGCTACAAAGATGATTAGGGGACTGGAGCACCTTTCTTATGAGGAAAGGCTGAGGGACTTGGGTCTCTTTAGTCTAGAGAAAAGAAGATTGAGGGGGGATCTTATTAATACATACAAATGCTTAATGGGAGGATGCCAAGGGGATGGGAGCAGTCTTTTTTCAGTGGTGCCCAGTGATAGGACGAGGGGTAATGGGCATAAACTTGAACATAGGAAGTTCCATCTTAACATGAGAAGGAACTTCTTTACTTTGAGGGTAGTGGAGCACTGGCACAGGCTGCCCAGAGAGGTGGTGGAGTCTCCCACTCTGGAGACATTCAAAACCCGCCTGGACGCTGTTCTGTGCAACGTGCTGTAGGTGACCCTGCTCTGGCAGGGGGGTTGGACTAGATGATCTCCAAAGGTCCCTTCCAACCCTAACCATTCTGTGAATTCTGTGAAATCCATGCAATGCCTACCTGACACATAACTATTCTGAGTTACGTTAGAGATTTTGAGAAAATCAGCCAGAAGAAACCCCAAAACAAACCAGTAGGAGATCTAAGCAGAGGTGACTTGGCTCAGTAAATATTTAACCGATAATTGTGATGCTAGATGTGTAAAACAATTATTTAAAACAATTATTTAAAAAGAACTCAAGGCACTAAAGACAATAATTTTCAAAAGATCAAACAATATTAGCACCGGTCTCCTTCAGTTGCTTTTACGTGCCTCTTAAGTTTTGTAATACTTTTTTTTTAATTCCAACTACGTGAAGGTAACAATTATTAGCTTCTCTCAGCATCTCTTTGTTCTTTCCTAGCTTCCTCTTGAAAGATACTCTCAAAGATGTGCTGTGCCATTGGACTTGTTCCTCACCTGATGGAACTGAAATGTGTTCCTTCTGTTCGGAGTTTTTAGTGAATTAATTGTGTCTTCATAACAGTTTTCCAAAAGCTGCTGGTCAACCTCCTGCATTTTCTGGGAACGTGGGGCTGTTCCCCTTTGTGATGACATTCCCCTTCAAGGGCTGCATCAATGATACTGTTTATGTTAAAAAGGCCTCAGTCCATATACAGAGCAAATTGTATCTTACATTTGTTATCTTTTGGCTTAGAAAACGTTACTGCATATCAAGCTATTCATATTGTAATACAGCAGTTTTGAGCTGCTCTTGATTTGCCTCAGTAAAATTTTGAAGTGGGTATAGGATCGTTTTTTTTTTATAGGGAATCATAGCTTAGTAATAGTAAGCTGTCTTTTTTTAAATTACCCTGCCCATGTCATCGCATCTGCAAACTACAGGTGATGTCCCATTGGTAGCTACATCTCCATAAGTGACCTTCTGCGAGGTTTGAATTCTATTCTGTCACTTTGAGAAAGAAGGGTTTCATTACTCTCTCTGTCTCGCCAAGTTAAAAAGTAATTTCTTAAAAGTAATCATATACTGCTTGGACTTTACCTATCTTCGCAAAACTGCGGGAATTCAGAGACACTTAATCTGCAAATTTGATTCAGAGAGCAGAAGGCAATAACATGTACTATTTCACTTCATAGGGTTAGTCCCACAGGAAAACACAATAATAGTAATAATGTAATGATAATTTCAGTGTAACATTTATTTTAGACAAACAAAACAATGCATATCAGAGGCAAATCCTAAAGGAAACCAATATCTTAGTACCAACAATAATGAGAAATATGTGTTATTGTTATAACTCAGCAAAATTTTTTTATCAGTTATAACTACTGAGTAGTTTACTTGTTTGAGTTATCCTACAGTTGTTTTTCATAAAATCTTTTCTTGTTTGTTTGTTGTTTTGTGGTTTGTTTTTTTTTTTTTTTTTCTTTTTTTCTTTTTTACAAGTACCCTTCTAAACAAAAGTCCGTGGCTTCTGTCCTGAATTACCCTTTGGAATTACGGTGTTTTTAAATTGTATGGATCCTGGCTTTATACACCTCATTGTTAAGTCTAGTTCCGTAACTTGGATTTCTGAAGTTAAAGGCAGATAGATAGTTGTACTGAGGGCAGGGGCGGAACCAAATAACGCGTGGTATTTAACAGTTATTAAAAGCTTCTCTTTAAGACACAATCATTTTTGCATCCAGGATATGACATAAACACTGTGGGAGCTTAGTATTACACTGTTGTGTCTCAACTGTTGAAGTTTGTTTTCCTACTTTGCAAAATATTAGCAAATCCATCAAACGCTCTTTTCTTCTTAACAAAAAACTGGCCCTGTCCTAAATTGGTCTGACTTTTTTGACTGAGTTTTTCACTTGAATTTTGGAGGTTGACAGCTGCTGTAGAATTGTTCTCCAGTCCTGTCAAAGTAGTGTCATCCTCCGTCTTGCTGGAATCGGTGCTGTCGGAGATTGTATTTCCTGTAGTCTGTTGTGGGAATGAATGTGAACTGTATGGTGTGCTTTCACTGAAGAAGCCTTGTGGGACTGAGAAGGAGTATGCACCCTCGTCACTCTGATCCAGTTGGAAGTGATCTTCTGTGTTGAAGACTGATTGTGATTTCCCAGAAGAGTGAAGATGCAGCAGATCTGCCATAAGATTGTACGACTGCGTTTCTTCGGGCAGACTACAGTTGCCGGCGTCCTGTAATTCTGTGTATCCATCGCAGTTTTCCTCATTAAAACCTGTTTGCAGTATATCTGCACAAGCCTTAGTTGTGTTCACCCGCTTCCCCTGTGGTAGCAAGTCTTCTTGCTCTGTACTAACTGTAAAATGTCTTTCAGCTGTGTGTTCAGGCAGAGATTGAAGAGATGATTCACTGCTGGAATGCAGTAGCGATGTTTTTTTAACAATTTCATTCAAATCAGTATCAATGGGAGCAAAAATAAAATCATTGTCCTCAGATGTACTCGTGTTTCTTCTTAATGTAACGTTCCCTTCACCATGATTCTTTTCAGGGGAGTTCCTGTCTGTCTCCTCGTCTGTGCTTCCCTCTGGTGCTTTTTCTTTTTGTTCGGTGGGAGTGAAGCTGAGGGAACGCTGTGGTTCATCAGGGAACTGATAGAGCTGCGCTTCAGCCTCTTCGGGAGTGCTGTCTGTATCGGTGGCATATGTGGGAGAATGTTTTAACGGAAGGAAAATATTACCAAAATCTGTGCTTCGATTGTGGAGAGAATTGGAGTTTTGCACTGTTGAGTCTGCATTAGTAAAATGATCAGACCTATCGGGAACTTCTTGACTTGAAGAACTAATTGTGTCTGAATCTGACATGCTTTCGTGGTCACTGTGTTTATCAGCGTAAGGTGATGCTGTTTCAGGCATGATGGTATCTGATCCATAATTAATAGTGGTTTCAAAATACGTGTTATTCTCATCTTCGTTTTTCCCAATATGCTGAGCTTCAGCAGCAATGTTTGGAGACTCTGGCAGTGTGGAGAACTTCTCAGTTCCACTGTTCCTATCAGCTTCCTCTAGTGACGACTGACAGACTGGCAGGTTGTCATCAACGTCAGGTTGTTCCAATTCAAAGTCTGCTAAAGAACTACAGTCACTCATTGTGAAAGGAGTCCCTTCATCTGAAGAACTATCGTCAAATAGATCTGCTGAAGCACCTTTTTCATTTGCATGTTCCGTTTTACAGTCATACTCTGCAAAAGGAGCATTTTCTGCTGTTTGGTAGACACTTAAATTCTCAATATTTGTATCTCTTTTGCGGCTACCAGGTAAAATAAAACCTCCCACATCACTGCTTACATTTATGTTGCCGTTTAGACCAAGTTGTTCCTCACAGCTTTGCCTTCCAGGCATAAATTCTGTAGTGCCCATGGATCCGTTATGTGAAACAATACCTTTTCTTTCAGAAGAGTCTGGTGTAGCCTTGGTGATTTCAGACTGCAGGATAGCAGAGCTGTTGCTTACCTCGCTGTTCCTAGAGTCTTGTGCAACTCTCTGTGTTTGTCCTGTGGGAAATGGAAAGGCAGGCTCTCCTGTGAGGGATAAATCCGAATCTGAAGAGTCGGTGTGATTTGAGGAGGAGTTGGCATGCAGTCTCCCGGGTATGGGAGGAAACCTGCTCTGCTCTGAGTCTGTATTTGCATATTTTGAATCTTTCTGTAATGAAATGTCATTACTCACTAATTTTCTTGGCATTACTTCATTGCTGTTCTGGTAAACTACCCCTACAGAAAGTAGTCCATTATCATCAATATTTTTATTTTCATAATTGCCGATACTAGTTTTGCTGTCTGAAAACACTTGCTTTTTCTTCACGTTGCTGTCATCATTGCTTTGTTTCTGGTACTCTTCTTCACTATTTGGTGCAGGTACACTGCTGCCAATGACATTTTCATACAAAGTAGAGGGTTCTGTAGGAAGAACGCATGTGTTTCTTGATGAATTTTTATCACGAATGAGTAAATTACACTGCGGAGTTGTTGGTTTGCTTGCAGAGCACTCTCCGCTCAGGGTTTCATCTGAAAAAGCTTGATTAGAGTAAGTATGTTCTGAACTCGCATTTTTGTTCCTGCGCATGAGTCTCCACAGGCTGACGAGGTAGGGTCTGGCAAAAGCACCCAGACAAAAAGCACAGACAAACGTGATGAGCACGGAGAGGCAAACAGCCAGTGCGAGGTCTTGCTCTGTTCTTCCTTGTCTAAAAACCGCGTTAGCATCCCGGGCTTTTCTAACCAAAAATGTGGAAACCCTTTCTTTCACCTGTATATTGTAGATGAGATATTTCTTCTTAGTTGTGTTAGAAGTACACAAATATAACCCTTCAGCAGTTGTCTCAGCATTGTATATCACTAAATTACTCATTTTATCCAGTGTCATATGAGGAAGACTATTATCTTTTGACACTCTGCCTTTAGGTGTCCACCAAGAGACTCCATTACCTGAAATAAAAGAAAATACAAATGAAATCTTTCTTAAAAGTTTAGGATACTTTGTTTGCAGGGTCAAGTTATTTCTGTAAGAATACACTCTGACCCATCTTTGATAATTTTAACTATTTATTATAAAATCCATTTTCTTTCTGTCCATCTATAGTCATTTTACATAGTACCAAGTATCTGTTAAACCATCAGATGTTCTCCCCCCCCAATTTAAAACACAGTACATACGGGGTGTTAATAGCAGACTTTCCAAGAGAAACTACATAGGTGAGGGAGGAGGTCACTGAAATGGTCTAAGCGTGTTCGGGATTTCACTAGAAACTCCTGCTGATCTCCCTCGTAGAAGACCCGTGTTTGCAGCCAGCTGTTCTCCAGCGTGGCCGCGGTCACTGTGTGCAGCTGAGATAAAACTGCACTCATTAACTGTCGGTGTTTCAACCACTGTGATTTTTCTGTGGTTACTGCTTTGGCTGCAGCAAAAAGGTATGAAAACCAAGGATATTCCCATCTACCGGGCAATTGCTCCAGACTTTAGCTAGCGTGGGCCATGGCCGGTTGTTGGCTTTTGCAGTATGTCTCAAGGTTGTATGAAACACCTTTGCCTTTGGATCCGCTCGCGTTCCCAGTGGAGCTTTGGTGCGATCCAGTGCGTTGGTTTTAATCTCAGGATCAGAGTTTCTGTAACTTTCCTTGTTTATAGACAGAGCAGGTGGTGTTTCTGATCGACCCTACCTATTTTCATTTGGGGATGAAGTGTTCCAAGGAGAAAGCTTTACCACCTCAACATGCTGTTTGTCCATCAGAATTAAACAATTTTGCCTTACGGCACGTGACAAATACACCTTCTAAGTTTGGTCTGAGTTTTCCCTCTGCATGCGAAGTCTTAGCTCTGTAGATTTTGTCACTTGTGCTTGAAGTGCTCTGTATAATTGTAAATGCTGAATTGATTTCCGAAGTGAACTGTGTGCTACAGTATCTGTACTTTTTAAAAAGAAATACAAATCCTTTCCCTGGCAAATAAACTTCCATTTCATTTTGTTGTAACTGAATCCTGGAAACACTGTTGTATCCTTCTCAGTTTTCTGCATGCCCCAGAAGTGCCACCCCACTATTCGGTCCTTTGTTTGCATTCCAAAATTAACTGACAAATTTGCGATGTATTACTTATTGAAATTTATTTGTGTGTAATTTGGCATCGCTTATTAGTTTGATGTAAGGAAGGAGATGAAGACTATTTTGGGGAAACGTGACTTTCAAATACCCTAACTGGTATACTACTTTCTAATGAAATAATTTGCACGTTGAATTGTTCTTCGGTTATTTTTAAATGGTATCTTTAGAAATCCACATTTAAAACCAGATTTCTTTGCTCATTCTGCACGCATTTGGATTTTAGCAGCCTGTGCACAGAGTCCCTATTTTACATACCCCTTGTGTCGTCCAGGTCACAGTTTAGCACCGACGTCTGCCCCGTTGGGATGACAGCCCGCTTGAGCAAAACGACATCGCTGCAGTTTAAATCAAAGCTTGAAAGATACAGCCGAGGTTTCTGTGAGTTGTTGGCAGGTTTATTGTATGAAATACTCAATTTTTTCCTCGTGGAATCAAAAAGAAAATGAAATAAATGTTTGAAAGCATTTAGTCTGCAGTTGAATATCCAGGCGTTATTTGACAAACCCACTTCAAGTTGAAAGAAGTTCAGACTTATTAATATCTGGGGTAAAGGGGTTGTCAGAGCGTTTTGACGGAGATCCACGACCTATTTGGAAATAATTCAGAGTTAATTTGATAAGCCTTACAATGGAATACTAATTGCAACATCAACAATAACATTTATTTTAGTATACAAGCGCTTTTGCAGTTACAGGAGCAATACATCTGGTTGGGATTTCAAGAGTACTGTTCCAAGTTTTGTAATTTAAATGAAAAGTTTAAATTGTGGTATATTTTAGTGTTCTCCCATTGTAGACTACCTCTGTGTGAATGGGAAGCTGCAGGGCTCTCTCCGTGGAAGGGATGGGGGTACAAAAGGACGTGTGTGTGCTTAAGCCAGTTATGGATTGGTTTGCAGCATAGATAAATGGTGAATTTATGGTTATATTTTGTATATTTACAAGTGTATGTGTTTTCCTATATATGAAAAACGAATGCATATTATATAAAAATAATGATTATTTTCACCATTTGCTTTAGTTTTTATAACTGCATACTAATATAATAATCAAAGACCAATACAATCATGCTGAATAGTTGATAATTAATATCTTTACTGGTGATTGACACAAAACACTGAAACAGTTGTATTATTGCTTTACAACCTGTAATTTGCTGAGGTCCCTGAAGGCATCTGGATGAATTTTAGTTATCTTGTTGTTTTGCAAGTCGATGTCCTTCAGCTGTGAGCAATTCTGAAAATCATTCAGCTCAATCTGTCGTATGCCGTTGGATGACAAGCGGACAGTCTGTAAAGATTGCAGCAAGCCGAGTCCTGGGAAGAACAAAACTATTTTACATTTCATGTTCTTGTCTTCCCAATTGCCTCAAGTGGCTTTTTGAAATTCTTTGCAACAAAATTCCTTCCGTTCCTGTCTAATTACGCCTTTCCTATTCAGTGGTTGTCCCATTCTAAAAGTTGCGTGGCGTCAACAGCAGGCGCAATAATACATTCACAACCAATGTATGTTTTGAAAATTCACATCTCCAGAAAAGCAGTAACATTCCTTTGGGCTATCAAAATTATTCCGACTGTAACGTCTGTACTTTGAGCACGCTTCTCTGGAGAACTGGAGGTAGGAAAGGAATGTGGAAAGGGTGGAATATACTCAGTTTATAACATCTAAATTAATTGTAAATAGAAGGTGGAGATGCCAAAGGTGATACAATATCTCCCGTTCATTGCCGTCTGCAACTTCATGGGAGTTTTTCATATGTGGAATTATTTGAACCATATTCATAGGCTGTAAACCTGACTGAAACCAAAACCATGTTGTTGCTTGCGCCTGTGAATTATAAAGCATGACAGTATATCCTTCAGCATATCCTGGTTACAACAGCAGCTTTGGGTTTATTGTGAAAAGCAGAAGGAATGATTCATCCCTGCTGTAAAAACTAGAGGTAGCAGGTAGGAAGTGCATTCAGAAGTTCTGGCAGTTCATAAATTCTTCCTTGCACCTGCATGAAGAATTGTAGTTTGGATGCATCCCTGAAGTTAAAATTGTGCCAGAAATACACACTGGCATGGCAGGAGTGGGCAGCAGCCTGGCGCCTGAGGTGGTAGTTGTGGGAAGGGTTTCTCTGTGGCCAAACCCCTCTGCTTTAGAAATTCAGTGTGTTTTTTCTTATCGGAGCTTAAAAACTGGAATGTTAGCAAGGGATTCTGGAGGAGGAAAATAAAGTTGTGAACAGGCACTAAGAGGAGTATGGGATTTAAGTATAACTTGACGCACGGTGGTACGATGCGTAGCAATTTGACTTTTAACATCTAAAAACTGAGTCTCTTGGAGAAGAGGGTTGATAATGTGTCATTACACTTACCTATCAAAACAAATCAATGTATAATTTATACTGTATCAAGCTTACATTTATAATGTAAGCTTTTCTATACTGTCTATATGGGAACCTTATAGATACTACAAAATAATTAAGTGAAACGGTTTCCTGCATGCCAGAGAAATATTTAGTATCAAAAAAGGAGAAAAATAGACCTTTGAGGACCCTGTGTAGCTGCCAAATTATTCCCTTTGTTTGACTTTGTGAGATAAGTGGGGTTTTGGTTTGCCCTCCCTGTATTTTCAAAATCTAGAGCTAATGAATCTGATGATGTTATCAGAGATCAATTGAATTCAGCAAACAACATATTGGGTAGTGTTGCTCACGCTGCAGCTTCTGCCTTGTTTAAGCACTGTTTGGACCATGCGAACCATGTGTTTATGAGGATGGAGGCTGTCGTGCAGGCTGCGATGCCTCACATAGCTCAGCGACCCGCAAACACTTTCTAAAAGTCTATCGAAACCTGACGGTGCCCTCCTCTTATTAGCTGGTGTCCCTTTAGTTGGGTGTGGGATGGCACAGAGCAAAATGGTTTTGACTGAACAAAATGTATTTTTCTGCCTTTGCGAAATACTGAAATTGGAGCAAGTTTTATTTGAAAGAGGATAGACTCTCTTCTGAAGAGTCGTATGAAATTCATTATCTGTAATTTTCTTGATGTTAAGGTTCACAACTGGGTTGTGGAGGCTGGTGTTTTTCCAAAGAGCCTTACTTCCCTTTCTGTACAAGGAATAATACTGCTTGGGCTCCTAGGGGATAAATTTGTTTATATTGACTGACGTTAAGGCATTACGATTGCAAAGACTATAAAAAACCCAACCTAATCTGAAACAACCCATTTGCTTCAGTCCCTGTATTTGCAGGCGGCTGGAACTTTCCCTCGCCTGAAGTGTAACTAAATGAGATGATAGCTGCAGTCTGAATTCAGCGAGACGGACTGAATCATACCCAAAACCAACTTACCCCTTGGGAGTGAGGTCCTTAAAGATTTCGAAATGCTTACCTCTTGGAACAGTATTAAGATTATTTCTTTCGACTGACAATACTTTCAAAGCAGGCAGGAGACGATCGACTTTTCTGTACTTTTTAGACCCCGGTGCAGGCACAGGTACGTCCAGTGTGAGGGTGTGGATGGCATTACTGTTGAGGTTTAGAGTTTCTAAAATGGGTAAATTTCTACAAGTAGTTAAGGAGAGTTCAGAAATCAGGTTGTTACTGAGATTCAGGTGTTTTAGCATCCACCCTTCATTTCTTCCATCAGTGCACATAAAAGTTTTAATATTATTGTAACTAAAATCAGCCGTTACTGCTGTTTGTGATATATCTTCTGGAATAGTAGATATTCTGGCAAAAGAACAATTCACGACGTGGTCCCCGTCCCACCGGCAGTCTGCACGCTGATGTGTATCAAGAGCACTCCGCTCTGAGTTGGTTCCCACCGATCCAGGAAGATTAAAGCAAAGGGCCACAGCAATGACACTCAAGTGAAGGGTATCCATAGTATCTATACATAAAAGGTAAAATTATGGTAAGTTCAGCGTAACAAGAGTTAAACAGAAAGCGGAAATACTTTGCCATTAAAAAAATCAACATTAAACAAATACCCAAAGCGTTACCAAAGTTCTGCCTTGACCATTCAGTTTTGGATTCATAGGTATGTTTCAGAAAAGAACATTCATAAACTGGTGACCTTCCCTCTCCCTCCCCTCTCCAAAAAAAACCAAAACAGTCTGAACCTTTTCTTTCTTTTCCAGTCCTTCGGTCGCGAAACACAGCTGCACAGGAACTCCTGTACTAACAACAGTGGAGACTTTTGAACTCTACTTCAGGTATCATACACAATTACCACTGAGCAAAGTCCACCACATACAATCCATGACAAATAGATGTGGAATGATTTTCATACTTACAGTTAATAAAATACTAGTTCCCCTGTCAATAACACAACCGCGTATTTTTAATGAAAAACTGTATTCTTACAAATAACACTTCTGAACCACAGCTGCATTTTAGAATTTATTGTTTCATTTCAAAACAAAGATTAGAAATTCAGTTCTCTTTCAGCTGTTGAAACAACCACCGCCTTTACATACACTGAGAACTCTTCACATGGAAGTTGTTTCAGCGTACCCAGTATGGTATTTTACACAGAGGCATGTAGGATGTACTTTAAACACACAGAATTTCTAAGTGCATCTGTGGGATTAAAATAAATAATGTGCCACACAATGTTTTAAATACATATAGAAAAATGTATCTTAGGCAGGTAGAAGATAAACAGCAAACAAATGCATAACACAGGGCATGTGTGGTGCCAACATTTCTCAAACCGTGTAGTGAAGGCAACAAAATATATTAACAATACATAAATAGTAGCTAACAAATTGTTAATTTTTCACTTGGTATTTGTATGATCGGTTTTGCTACGTTTTGACAAAAAATCCACACTTAAAAAGCAATTCTCCAGACCGTGATTTACGAGTACCTTTGTGACAAATCCTTCAGCTATGTCGCATACAGTATTATACAAAGAACTCTGGATAATTACAAGAACTCAATACGAGCATATAGGCATGTCAGACCAACCAAAGAGGAGCTTTAATATGCTCTTCATGTGTAACCTACTTGACTGAGGCAGTATCTGTCATTTTCAGGATCTATTTCAGCTTCAAGGATGCTGCCGCTTATATTTTTATACCTGTGTATTTATATATATAAAAATAAAGTGACAAACTTCCATTAGCATGAGTGAAAATTCTAAAAATGTTATAGTTTATTTCCTCCTTTTAATGGTAACAGATACTAACTAGGGCACTACTTAGCAGCAAAGATGTGTGCATGTTTTCAGCAAAATGTGTGTTGAAGTGGTTAATAAATATTAACTGTAGTAAAACTGTGAAGTTCATGAACACAGTATGCAAAACGTTAGTACTTTCCCATAATCTTTAATGTGAGCAATTCAGTGGCTTTTGCTGTATTTTATTCTGGTTTTGTTAAAACAGCTCCACTCCCGTCTACCCCTTAAAACCTCAACAACTACTGAGCATCAAAATCTGCCTTTGCCTGAGAGCAGCGAGGGAACCGTGACCCCTCTGACCCTCCGTGTGGCGTAATGCCTGACCTAAGGATTCCCCTCTAGAAATCCCTTCCACCCACACGCATCCTGCATGACAACTTACTGACTTCTAGTAAATACAGGAACTGGGACCTTAGATAGGAAGTTCTTGTTGCAGCAGGAGCTGATTTGTACTTTGTGGAATTCTACGTACTTTCAGAGCTATCAAAGGCAGACAGTTTATCTTCCCACAACAAATTATCAATTCTGAAGTTATTGTGTAACATTTGCACAACTTTTAGGAAGAGAAGCATGTGCTTATCTAGAAAAACTTGTCAAAAAGCTACTTGCAAAGTCACCTTTGTGGCCTCCATTATTAAAGTTACTTGATGCTACTGCAAAACAAAACTATTTTCAACTGAAGAAAATACTTGGGGAGGGAGGAGTGGGAAACTTGGAACGAGCTGGTCTGTTTTTCGTACAGAACCCCTTACCTCTGCAAAAGCAGTTACAAGGCTGTAATAGTTTCTACAAGGCCTCAGTTCACCACAGATGCAGTTTCACTGTTGACAAATTCAGATACACGTGTATCTACCCCGCTGTCACAGGATTTGATACCACCACATTCAGAATTACAGATCTGCAGTTTAACTTTGGAATTTAATTCTGATATTCTCAGTAATGTATCAGTACTGACATTTATGGGGAAAAAGAGATTTGATCTCAGACACTGCTGCAACGGTCATGTTTCAGATATTACCTGTTGAATAATGGATTCATATACTGTGCACATTAAAGCACCAGGAAAATACTTTTTTTTGGTAGTGAGCAAGTTGTAAGTACATCTTTAAAAATGTACTTTTAATATAAACACATTTTATAAATACTTCACATAAATTAAGCAACCGTAGAATGCCTAAACTGCAACACTTCAATAATCACAAGACTATTTCAAAATTGAAGTTACATTTCCACACTCGATAGTACTTTGCAAATATTATTTGTGCTAGCATAATTTTTTCTCTTAACTACATGACAATACATAGCAGAAATAATGCAGTATTTTAAAGTGAATCTGCCACTACCCCTCTCTTAGTACACATATGGTAAACCACATAGTTTTGGGGGAAATCATTATAGCAACCTTTGGCAAGAAATGAAGAAAAGATGAAAAATTTGCCGCTTCAGCCATCCTCGGCAAATCCACTTCCAACAACAAATCGACATTCCTGTTGAAGTACTTCAGATGGCATTTGTGTTCTCGGCAGCCCTCAAGATCTTGGGATGTAGGACAAAAACCTCCTCCAAAGCCAACTGAAGGCAGTCAAAATTGTTGCTAAGATCACATTCTTCAAATATATTCTACTGATCCCAATTCAAGAAGGTACTTCAGTATGCATGTAGACTGAAAGCTTACTAAATCAGTGCCACTATTATGGCAGGATGATGACATAATACTGTTGAACGTAACAGCCTTTGCTTAAAAATATTATGTAATAAATGTTAGTATAAATTGCTGTAAAACCAGAAATCCTTGAAGGCATGCAATTACTTCGTACAAATATATGTAAACACAAAAGAGAAGTCTCCTGGTAGTGGTTTGTGTTTTAGTGCGTGGCTCCGCACGGATTGACAGAAGTCTGACAACCCATGTTATAACCTGTCACCTGAACCTTGAACAGCGTCCCATCTGCGCACATACAGAGCTTGAAACGCAGCCAGTTGCCGTTATTAAACTGTTCCCCGTAAGAAGAACTTGGCAGTCGCGATGGGCTGACCATCACAGTTCCATTCAGGATAATGCTGTTTTCCTATTAAGAGGGAGAAAAAAAAAAAAAAAAAGTACAACTTCTAATTTAAACAAGGCAGGTTGTTTTCGAAAAAGCACAAGCTGGTTCAATAGATCAATGACATCTTTAGGATGACTGTAGAAATCAACAGAATAAAAAAGTACATATGACAAGCTTTCATTTTTTAATTAAATTTGTGAGTAAAGCTCATGAATTTCTCAATTCTAGCCAGCAATGTACTTTGCTATTCCAGTGGTACATCGATATTGAGAGAGATGGCAGTAGTGTGGCTTTTCACTGGACGGACCTATTAGCAAATGCAGTAAATCTAAAAATATGTACGTGAAATGGGAAACAGCATTTGAATTCATACATTAAATTTATTCACGCATTACACAAAAGTGCATGTATCTCTGTCATGGTTTGGACCTCAAACCAGGACAGTCTCTATTTTTTATCCTCCTTTAACCTTTTCTATCATTCTATATGCTCTGCAATCTTAACAATATCCAAAAATCTTGAATGCTGGCAAGTCTCACTGCTGCAGCATAGAAGGTAGTGCTCCTAATGGCATGCTCTGCTCCTCTGTCAAAGGTTGCTGTCCCCAGTAAAACCTCCAAAAGAGAAGATTAATTCCTTTGGTATTCGTTTAAGTGCAGAGGCCAATAGCTTCGCTTTGGTTGCACTGTGGGGTTTTAGTGTCTTAGCAGTAGTTACTGTTACCTGAAAACTATTGAACCACTAACAGCAAAGCAATAATCCACCTTGTAAAAACCTTCCTAAATGCACTGACTGCAACTAAACTTTTATGCACGACTACTGTATATAAAATTTGAATCCATATAAAGCTACACCAGTTTATTATCAGCCTGAATTTGAAACTAAGCTGTTAAAAAAATGCTGATTTGAAATACTTACTGCTTTAAGCTCCATGTTACCCCCCATTCGAAACTCAATGGTCTTGCCTGTGATGAAAACACCTTCATTTCCACGGACAATAGCACGGCCATCGACCTTTATGTTTAGATCACTGGTTGCATTGCTGGTAATCTAAGAACATAAACAAAAGAAGTGTATTAGAGATGAATGAAAATGTGCTGCTTGGGTTTGTCTGAGTAACTTTAATTACCTTAAAAATATTGGTACACAATTTAATAAAAACCTTCAATGTACTTTCTTCCCTTCTCCCATTACACTTATGAAGCTTCTGCCCATTTCCACATTCATATTTGAAAACAAGGACTACTTAATTTTGGAAGGTCACCTGAAAGAGTTTATGTTTGCATATTGTTTGTTTGTGATAACAATTCCTATGACAATTTTATGGGATACACAGTTAACACTGGTAGCAAATACAGGCTTCCTGTTAGGAGCGACTATGTAAATTTACTCCTCTATTTTCATTTAATCTGTTCCTCCTATGCATTTAAAGTTATAAGTTTGGGTTTGTTTTTTTTTTTTCTGGAGCATACTATTTTCTTAGCCTGCAGAGGAAACACAAAGAGCAAACTAAATTCTCTTTTTTGTTTGTCCTTAAAAGGATTGCTCAGTGCTTCCTAAGGCACACTCAACTCTCTATAAAACCACTGATACTACTCTACTAATGTTATACAAAAGAACTACAGGCTGTACTCCATCTGTAAAGCCTTTATGATAAGTGATGACATGAAAGAAAGAAATTTCAGTCTGACATTAAGATCAGCATTGTAAATGTACGCACACCAATTTTTAGGTTTTTTAGTTTTTTGATAAAGCATATTTAATGTAGAAACCAACACAGAGCTTGTTTAATTTAGAAGCCATGGACCAACATAACTCCTATAATGCTGTGATTATTCTCTACAGTTCTACTTGACTTCTGAAATTCTATCACAAATAGAAAGAAAATGATACATGAAGTTCTGGTAATTGTTTTTCTAAGTTCTTACTAGAAACAGAGAAGCTTGTCATAGAAATTTTATTTCCGAAGCAATTATCTAGGCACAAATAAATAGAAAAATGCTCAATAAAAAGACATGCAGGCCTAGTTGGCATGGTATTCTGGATATTACACTCATTTAATGATGTCAGTTTTCATGTCTGTTCTAATTTTTAGGGTGATTTACATTTTCAGAGCTGCAGTTTTACCTACATTTAGTCAAATTTCTAAATATGCTTGAAAGATTGCATTGGTAAACTTTTTTCTTATTCTACAGCTACAGCAATTCTGTAATGAGCTTTTACAAAAAGTAAGAGGTAGTTAAAAGAGACATACCCTCTCTGTAGAGGCCTTTTGTACATTCAAGATTTTAACTCCATTTGGCAGATGAAACTCATGAGTTTCATAGTCTGTGCTGAACAAGGTATTTTGTGTCCGTGGGTCAACAAATTCCATGCCAATATCACTGGTAATAGAAGTTTTGTCTTTTTCCACACTAAGCTTGGTTGTTCCTTGCTGAAATACAATCTTCAGAAACAAAGTCATTAAGTTAATGATGTTTCAAATACAACGTTTATCAATAATGTGACTGTACTTCCATAGCATTGCTCACAAACTTTCAATTAATGATGCAACTTACAGGCTGATTATTTCCAGTGATCACCAAATCTTCATTACGTCTGCCTCCTACAGTGCTTTTATATAATGGATGTATAACACCCATGTCAGAAACCTGCTTAAACCGCAACAAGCCACTCTCATGGAACTCCATACTGTCACAACCATTGGGACCAATTCGAATCACTGCCCAGATAACTAGTGTGATCTGAAAGAGAAACACACAATTTCAAAGATTACTTTGACCATTTGGACCTTCCCACAAGTATTGTATTAACGAGATGTTTTATTAGAAGTAATTATTGATGCTAGTGTTAAGTAAGCTTTAGGTGTGAATTTACTTTAGTCTGTTTAATTCCTACTAGAAACATCAGAACACATTTAATTATGAAAAGCATTTTACATGATTTTTAGACTCATCTGAAATGGTAACTAAAATAACTTGTGTATATATAATATATATACTTGAAATTAAATCACATCCATAATTAATTCTTTTTCCTGTTTAAGGGCAACCATGGTAGCATTAGCTATACAAATTTCCTGAACAAAGTAGCTCAGCTCAGGATATACCTACCCTTGAACTACAGGAAAGCACCTTCACAGGTGGATGTCCAATTATGAAAAATAATTACTTCTCATTGATCAAGCAATAAAAAGGTGGCAGTTACAACAATGAAGGATTAAATGCAGTGTCTAATTAATTCTGAATGCTCATGTGCAGCTCTGTTATCATATGTAAAATGTTCCTGGCGTAACAGTTTATCCTGCATGTATTTGTACTGCGCTAGTAACACTTCACACATTTGCTGTTACTGAGTTTTGTGAATGGAGAGACACTTTCGAGGTTCCTAATTCTCTGTTGTATAAATGGTAGGTTCCTTGCTGGGACCATGATAACTGAAATAATCATCTAATCTTGCTCAGACTACAAAAGAAGGAAAAAAAAAAAGGAGAAAAGTAAGAAATCTCCTTCAATACATCTTAAGTCCTTCTCAGCCACACTGGTATAAGTTTTATTTCTCTAATAAACTGCCAAAATGAAATATGTCCTAATGTTGCTTATAGCCTAAGTATTATACTCACAATAAGATTGATGACAGCCAAAATAAAAAGAAGAACAATCACACAAATGGCCAAGTTGCCTTTCCTGCCACGTAACCCTGTCTTGTGGAGACGGTCTTCATCAATTGGAATGTATCCTGCTTTAAAGTTACTGTTGTGCTCCTTATTAACGTTCCTGCGTTCCACAGCCTTTTCTCGCATAGACTTCTTCACCGGGCCATTAGAACTTTGCTATAATACAAAGCATGGATTAGCTGTTATATGGCATGTAAATCCACCAAAATGATAGACATGTATTTATGCAAAAAAATACAGATTTGAATTGACTCGTAGAATATATTACATATTCAATACTATATTTCAGTCTGCCACTCTGTACTTAAAATACACATTTACAACCACTGCATTCTTTGCTAATGCTATGACTAAAATTAAATATTTTCAGACAATGTATGTTTTTGTATGTCATTTTTATCATGGCAGATAGGAATTATTGATGACATTGCTGCAGTAAAAAAAAATCCGCTACAAAGAACTTCATCAAGTTTTTACTGCCTGGGGACAACACAGAACGTAATCCTGTAGGTCATTTACTAATACAAAGAATTTTAGTTCCCTCCATGCTAAGGTGGAATAGCCAATCAATGAATCTATCCAAAAGCAGTGTGGTGGATTCAGTTTTAAAGTTACTTTGATAGCACAGGGTTTGCATTCAACTTCTATTGCTTGCATGCAGAATTAAGAAAAATAATGTAAGGCTTCAAACCTGGCATGGAGAATGTGGTCAGCCTAGCTTTAATTTAATCATTTGAAGTTACTAGATTCCAAGGGATATCCCTTCACTGTGATTAATTAACATGTAGAGGAAAGCCCTGTAGGTATTCATAGGGAAAATAAACCTTTGATGTATTTTTGTAACTTTGTCCAAAATTTTATCCACCCCCTTTCAACGGAACAGATCGCTATTTAAGGGTTCAATTCTTCAAAGAAGGAGCTTGATCTTTTTGATGGGATTAAGTTTGTTCATCTGAAGGGAATCCTGAAGCTGCACCTTAAGCTTATGGCGCTTGCACGTATCTATATTGATGTAACAGGCAAAATTGTCTTGTTTTCTTCTGTTGCTGAGGAACAGGGAAATGGTGCTAAGAAAGGTGCTTGACCTGAACAGGTTTACAGAAGGCTTCCTCAAAACTAGACTCAGAATTGGCTAGGCAGGGAAACTGAAAAGAGGTCTGTCCTCTGGGTTTTCCCCATTTCCCAAGGAAATGGAAACTTTGTACAACAGGACAGCAAGCATTCTGTCCTGAGGATGGTGGTCCTGAAAGGATATAACAGCGAGACAGAACTCCAAGGTAGTTTTTTCACTTCGCAAGGCAGGACAGCAGAAGACAGCATCAGGACTGGGAGAATGTGGTTGAAATGGTAATTGCTGGAACAAACGCCGGCACATCCATGCAGAACTGGGCAGTGCTTCCCATGGCAGCCGAGATGGGGCTGGTATGGGACCCCTCAGGAATCTGGGTCTTCCTACCCACTGCTGCTGCACCTGCACCTACACAGACCCGCTCTGATTAAAAGTCCCGTGGAGACACAGGAGCCCTTGAAAGATAAGCCCATGAACAGCTTGGGTTTTTTCCCTCCGGCTTGGCCCTGTTTTACCTCAAACCAGGACACGCGGCGCTGACAGAGTCCCCGTCCCACTGCTCCGGCTGGGTGACAGTGACTCCCTTTCTGACAAATTTAGCTTGTGCTCCCGTGTGACACCTCGGATGCTGAGCCCGAATCGGAGCTTCAGCCTTATTTATACACTGCCGCTGAGCTGCCATACTTGAGCCCGCCTGACGAGACGCCTGAGGGCGCAGCCCCATAAATACCAACCGCGCGGACCAGCCTGGCTAATTTGTGACAAGTACCTAGTTCGGCAGGACAGTTACATTCCTGTGCAGAAATATAAAACGCTTTATTTGGAAAACAGAAAGTATTTTTCTTCGTTAGAGATCGTCGCGTCCTTAAGGCGTCCCGCCCTGGCAGCGGGCTCAGGGCTGCCTC